TCTTTAACCCTCCATCAGGTGCAATGCAAAAGTTACGAGTTCGGGCGCAATGCATCTACCGGATGCATGTATGAGAGTTATTTATTTAAATTGAAAATGAATGAAAATAATGTGTAAGCATGCATATTATTTATTCAGAATGAAATTTTAATTTGCCACAAAGTAAAAACAATATATGTTTATTACATAAATTCAGTATAATCTTTGCCTATTACTGTGCAGTACACCTGCCAGATAAAGCAGTCCTATAAATGCTTTCATTTCGACATGGTCTGCACATTTTGCATCTCTCTCATGAGAGTATTGTGACAAATTTTTACAATATACTAATTTGTATGCTCAATGATGATGCCCAATATTTCCTTATTTATGAAACGGTTCCAACATTCGAGATTATTTTTGGCCTGTTTTGCAGATCCCATGACACCTGGTGAACACACTAAAATATTTTGTGATCTGTTTTTTACGTGCTGTGACAATTTAGTTGTTTTTCATTTGGTTGTTTTATCTTTCCCAATAAAATATTAATCTATTTCTTCATTACTACTTTCTTGATCACTTTCTGAAGGAGAACTTTCTTGCTCAGTGTCAGAATTTTGGTCTCGTTCTTCAACTTGATCTTCACCATCTGTGTCACTTTCATCTTCAAATTCAAGTTCAATTTTCATCCTTATCAGACTCCATCAACATCTGTAGCAATATCTCAGCATCTTTTGGGTCATCTGGATTATAAAATCTTTGAGGTTCAGCCATTTTAGAAGGTAAAACCTACAAAGAAAAAATATTACCCTAAACAGACGCAATGAATCTGTCAGATTAATTAGAAAATAAAATACCCAATTACTAAGTTTCAATAATAAAACTGTACTTACAATCTCTTTCTGAAATGTCTGAAAGGATAGTACTCTACAAAAAAAATCTGTTGAGAAAATATAAAAAATATCTCAAATAGGCACAATGAATCTGTAAGATTAAAAATGCCGCTATGAAATACGTCTTTACTGTACTAAGTCACAAACATGACTGGCGATAGTTTACTGTAGAGGGGGAAGCTACAGAAGCGTTGAGTCAGGATACTTAAGTTAACTGTTAGATATTTGAAAATTTGTGTGCAATGAACCTGTGAGGTCAGTTGCGCCCGACGGAGGGTTAATAATTCTGAATAAAAGTTTCATTTTCTTCAGAGATCTTACACATATTTTTGTTGGATTTCTTCTTATATACTTCATATTTTTAAGATACCATAAATGGAATCATTTTTTAAATTTCATATCCCAACTGTTTGCAAGTACATAAACAAAATTGAGTTTTATGCTAATACCGTGTTAAGCAACATTACTAAACTCTCATTTTATTCTAATGTTTGCCTGTAGATTCTCTTGGATTTTTTACACATATAATCATATCATTTATGAATAATGACAGTTTCCTTTCTTCATAACACATATGCCTTCTATTTCTTTTTCTTACCACATTGCTTTGTACTTCCATTGCAGTTTTAATGATAGCAGGCATCCCTACTGTTATCCATGATATCAAACAGAAAGCTTTCAACATTCATCAGCAAGGATGCCATTTACTGTAGGTTCCTTGTAGATATCCTTAGTCAGGTTAATGAAGATGCTTTCTATTCCTAGTGCATTAAAGTTTTTATTGTGATTGGGTGTTAAATTTTACCTTACACATTTTTCTAAATCTACTGAGACGATTATAAGGTATTGTTCTTTTTTTCTTCTAAAACAGTGAATTATACAAATTAGTGTTTTAATGCTAAAACAAACTTGCATTCCTGGAATAAAGCCAACCTGAACATGATATTATCTTTTTAGTAGATTGGGAACTTCCATTTGCTCATGACATCTTTGGGATTTTCTCATCTATATTCATGAATGAGATTAGGCCGTAAATTTACTGTCTCAAAGTGTTCTTGTTGATTTTAGATATCAGTGTTATACTAGACTCATAAAATGATTAAAGGAGTGGTTCCTCTGACATGTCAAACTGCAGCGTGTCCCAGATGGAACTCTTGATTTCCCACCCCAAACATGCCTCTCCACAGTGAGGGTGATACCATCCTTCCTGGTGCTCAAACCTGATATCTTGTTGTCATCTTTTTCTCTATTATCCCATATCTAATCCATCAGAAAATCCTGTTTGTGCTCCACCAAAATATGTCCATCACCTGACCACTTTGTACCACCCCCAGTTTTCCACTCTGGCCAAGTGACAGTCGTCTCCTACTGGTTTATTGCAATCATCCCCCTGACCCCCAAGAGCAGGGCTTGGCAAACTTTTTCTGTAAAGGGCCTGATAGTAAGTAAATATTTTATACATTGCAAGCCATGCAGTCCCTGCTGCAACTCTACAATTCTGTGATTGTACTGCAGAAGCAGATAATATGTAATAAGTGGGCATGGTCCAATTTTGCTGTCGTTTAAAATCGCTACCCTCTAGGGTAGGCTATTCTCAACACTGATGACAGTAATCCTTTTAAAGCATAAGATAAAGTCTCTCATCTATTGGAAACCCTTCAGTGGCTTCCCATCTCACTCAGAATTAAATACAGAATCCTTACAGTGCCCTGCTAGGCCCTCATCAAGCCTAGCCCTCTCACCTCTCTCTTATTTTAACTCATCCTCCATCACCCCGCCAGTGTGCTCGCTGGCTCTCGCTCGCTCTCTCTCTCTCTCTCTCTCTCTCTCTCTCTCTCTCTCTCATTCAGTTCCAACCACACAAGCCCTTCTCCATTTCTGGAACATGCCAGGTTTGCCCCACCTAAGGGCATATGCTTGTTATTCCTGCTGTAATCACTCTCCCTCCAGCTATCTGCCTGGCTAATTCAGCTCTTTTAAGTCTGATCAGATGTCACTTCTTAATGAGGCCTTCCCTGGACACCCTATTTAAATGTCAACCTTCCACCCCTTCCCTGACACCTTCCATCCTCTTTATTCAGCTCTGTGTTTTCCATCACACTAATTACCTTCTGATATACTGTATAACTAATTTTTTAATATGTTGATTGTTTATGTCTGTCTTTTCCCTACTAGAAGTAACTTAGTGAGGTCAGGGTTTCAGTCAATTTTGTTTGCTGCTATATATCCAATGACTTGAACATTATCTGTCTTAGAGTAGGCACTCAGTGAACATTTATTAGATACATGGATGGATGGATGGATGGATGGATGGATGGATGGATGATGGCTGGATCAAAGAAATGCCATAGACTAGAATTTCCTAGAGTGTATTCTTTAGAACACTAGTTCTACAAAGCAGAATAAGATGAATAGTTGGAATCCAGGTGACAATTCTGTTCATTATTGAACTCTTCCATGGAATTAAGTGTCTCACCAAGTCATGAGCAGTATTTCATAGGAAGTATTCAAGCAAAGCCTAGAAGCTAATGATTAAACCCCAAAGATGTTCAAGTTATTCTAGCAACAGGTTGAAGAATGGATGCTATGTCCCCTAAAGTGCCCCAAACACAGGCCACCCCAAGGTTCTGTGATACTTTCCCAGTTGTTTATTAGCAGTGGTAAGAATATCATTTATTCAATCTGTGACAAGAACTTGTGTCTTGTTGAAACGGGTAGTTTTCAATAGCACATGTCAGTGTCATATTAAACTAGTATTATCTTCCAGTCTTGAGATTTTCTTCTTGGAGAAAAATTGAAAACCCTAGTAGGAATTATTGGCAGAAGAGGCAGGATATTTGTGTATCTTGAAACATTTGTATGTTGGCTAGAAAAAAAAGTCACTCTCAGAAATAGATGGATCAATCAAGTCCTAGCACAAATTGGTAGGTGAGATATTGCAGCTAATGCAACCTTGTTTTTATTTTTTACTAATATTGTTTATGGTGTTTTTCTACTTTTCTGTACTTTTGTTCTTTGAAAGAAAAAAAATTGTCATTGCTTTTTTTTCTTTTTGTTTTTTTTAAACCAAATGTTACCAGTTAAGGAATAGGTCAATGTACATACCTAGTTACATAACCATGTGAGTGGATGTTCTAAAATGATGATTACTCTTCTACTTCCAGATGTTGTGTTAGGGGTTCAACAGAGAAATAGGCATAAACAAATTGGGTCTCATAAAGTGTTATTAAATTATACTCCTCAGATTCTCACCCAACATGGATGGGCTGCGTAGCACACTTGGGAGAGGCTAGGAGTGGGGCAAGGATGAGTGCAGGAAATGATTACTTTTACATTTTTGGAATCACACACACTGTTTATAATATATTGACATGCCATGAATAGTATTATATAAATGTAGTGCTTTGACGTTATATTGTATCTCTTTCCAAATTAATAAATCTTTACCCATTAACTAAAATTCTAAAAAAAAAAATACTGAATGCTATCAGTATAAGGATTTTGCTTTTCTTCTTAGGCTATTTTCATTTGTTTCTTCTGCATCCTTTTAATGGAATTTGTAGGTCTCTTGAAAGGTAAGGTTAAAGTTTACAAGTCTGGCCTGCACTCTATAACAAAATTATTTGAAGCGAGGGATTTTGCTGCTTCTTCTTGCTCAGAAAAAAAAAAAGTCCATGTTTCACACTTAACCAAAATCATTCTCCATTCATATCCAAGGAATCGGCGATATTACGCAGTTTAACGTACTAACTTCTCTACTTGCCATAAACTTTTACCTCCTTTTGAATTAAAAACAGTGAGGATTTTCAACTTTTTCAATTCTCCCTTTTTTAATGCTTGTGATTATTTCAGAATTGCTTCCAAATCAGGAGCCAGAATCTGTCATTGATATTGACATGCACAGTAAGAAACCTTCCACCTACTGGAGACTTCATGATTAAACCATTTCTGCGCTTGACTTTCATTCCAACCACATCCCAGCCATTGGAGTCAACCTGATGATTAGATTTGGCTAGAGAAGCTCAGGGCTCCATATGCTTTATCATAATTGTCATGCATGATCTTTAAGAATAAAACATTTTATTTACCTAAATGCCAGTCTTGATGAAAATTTCTTTTTTCTTCCAGTGATGCCGAAGACCACAAGCCTTTGAAAAAAGGCAGCCGAACACCTTCAGATAGGACTGTGAAAAAAGAAGATAGTGATGACAGCCTCGTTGACTATGGAGAGGGGGTGAATGGCCAGTTCAACGAGGACGGTTCCTTTATTGGACAGTACAGTGGTAAGAAGGAGAAAGAACCAGCCGAAGGCAACGAAAGCTCAGAGGCACCTTCTCCCGTCAACGCCATGAATTCCTTTGTCTAGTTTGTAAGCTCTCTGCCAATACCCCATTCCTCCAGGATGTTTCTCTTCAGCCCTTGTTGGTCAGCCTTCTCATACTGTGAACATAGAGGCAGACAGCGACTGTTCTGCTGTATGTTGATATTATGAGAACAGTTAGACCAAGAACACAGCTCAGTCAAATGATATGTGAATGTGAACCGCAGTGCAAAGTGCATACCTTTTCATTCAAAATAGGTATTCTTGATTTCCTCAGAACTTCTAAAAACAGTACAGCATCATCAACAGATGTTATTTCATCTTCAGGATACAGTTGCATGACAAATGCTACACACAGTTAAAGGACATACCTGTGTATGTTATTAAAACATGGTTTGATACTTTGTTTATCCTCGCCTCAGCTGAACCCCTAAATATGAATTCCGTTTCCATTGTCGAGAGTGTTACTATAGTATTCCCTAGAACTTCAATGTCTTTGTGGACATTGTCGTGGAATTGGTGACTCTATGTCTAGCTGTTAGTCTTTTGGGAGACAGTTAGGAACAGTATGTACAGTATATACTTGCTAAACGAGTTAATCGTGACAGTTGCATTTGCTGATGCTTACTGAGACTCTGTTACCTGCTCTTTGCTTCTCTTACTTCGTAGCCTTCTCACTATCCCAGGTATTCCAGCAAGACAGTGTTCCACTTTTCCCATCATCTCTATGTTCAGATGTTTTTAGGCATAAACAATGTGTATTGCAATGCACTTCGGCATTTGTGCCATCCTGAAAGAATCAAAAAACAAATCACTCCAATGAAATTTCAAAACTTCCTCCAGAAAGCACAGGGCAAGATACATGCAGTGCCTTCAGACCGGAAGCATTCCATAACATACTGCCTTCTGTATCGCTGGTACAGTCTACTCAGAGTGCTAGATTACTGTCATTGTCTAAATGTAACTTTTAAAAAGCAGAGGTAATGAAAACTGCAATGCTGGAAAAAAAGAAATGTGAAAATAAAACAAATAAGACAGCTTATTTTAAGGAGCATTGTCCCCATGTGTGTGTATATATATATATATATATATATATATATATATATATATATATATATATATATATATATATATATATATATATAAAGCTTTATCACCAACTGATGATTTTGAGGTTGTTTATGGTTTCTATTAAAACAAGTCCCATTCAGGAAGAAAGACATCAACTTGGTTGAAAAAATTTTTTAAAATAAGTTATTCCAACACTAAAAGCATACAACAGCTTGTCAACAGGAATATATTATTCTCTATGTCTTTACCTATGTGACAGCTTTTGAAACTCTCTGCAGCATTAAATAATCTGTATGCAAATTGCTATGGACACATTTCAGAATCTAAGAAATCTGGCAAGTGCTAGCTAACAAGGCCAAGAGTCAAACAGATTACATCTACAGTTCCAAAAAATTATATACATTCTACCATATTCATAAACAATATCTATCAAATGGTTTACCTCCAAATATGAAATTCTATAACAACCTATGGTTGAAGGGATGCTCAGTTTCATTTGCCAATAAATTGGTTTCTCATAACTTGCATCAAGTTTAATTTTAAGTAAAGCTTTTTATATGTAGATATTTTGTTGAATTTGTAAATACACTTAAAGTATAGATGCTATATGCTTATAGGTGTTACATACAAATAAACTTGCAAACAATGTTTATGTTGTACTGTATAAGAAGTTAGCTCATTAATACAGTGCATGGGATTGGAAAGCATTTACTTAAATACCTTTTGGGTTTTATTTTCCCTTTTTGCTGTGAAACTGAACTAGTGAATGATTCTACATATTGACAACACGTTTCTCGATGAACTCTTCAGAGCTTTGTCTGTAGGGCTCAGTAGGCCTAGTCACCTGGCATCTTTGAAACATGTAGGTAAAGCACAGTTTGAAGTAATCCCAGGTAAAGATGGACCTAATTACTTTCATGTCTCCATTTTCACTTTTCACAGATCAACCTTCCTATGAAAATACAAAAAAAACAAAACAGGCTTGCCGTGGCATCAGAGAGCATAGAAATAAAAGTTACTTTACATTTGCCAATGTTAGGGGGACAATAAAAGGACAGTTTTTACTGTTCCATACCGGTAGATGCTAAATTTATCTGTGCATGAAGGGGTCACTTCTGTAATAGTGCAACAGATTTTGTATTCAAAATTAAATGTGGTTTTAAAAGCCCCTCTCTCTTTTGTAATATACCCTGTTCCTAGTGCAGTGTGAATGTCCAAGTAATGGTATGTGTAACGGTACAGGCAGATGTGACTGGATTTCCATCAACAAGTAACCATTAAACAGTCTTGATCTCTTTGTGATTTTTAACTTTTTCAAACATAATTTATGCTTTTAAAAGGCTATTATCTGCAGAGAAAATACAACACAAAACTAAACACAATATAAAACAGAGCTAATAAAATAGGGACACATAAAAAAATGTTAATGAAAAGCAGGAGTAGATATTAGCAGCCTTTTGAGAGACAGCCTGAGGAGTGGGAATCCGCTTCCTGTCCTGGGGCCTGGCCGCCTCAGGCCTGGCTCCCTGGTGCCTGCTGTCAGCCTGTCTTCTGCTGACTAGCTCTCCACTCTCCCCAGCGTGGGCAGGTGGGGTTCCTTAACCTCTCTTTGATGAGAGACTGGGCACTTACAAGTATTATGGGTATGCCATCCACTGGCTTCTCCCCAGCCCTCTTCTCCTCGTTGTCTCCTCATTCTCTCCTCGCCTGTCTAGCTCTGCTTACAGTCAAGGTCCGGCTTGCTCCTCTGTTACACCACCTGCCCTAACTCACCTGCCCCTGGTCCCAGCTTTCCCCCTGCAAGACCTTCTCCTGACACAGAGCTCCTCCTCTCTACACAGCTGTTTGGATAACTTGTTACTTATTCAAGGGGGACACATTCCAAGACCCCCAGTGGATGGCTGAAACCTCAGGTAGTACTGAACCCTGTATACACGATGTTTTTTCCTATATGTGATAAAGTTTATAAATTAGGCACAGTAAGAAATTAACAGCAATAACTAATGATACGATAGAACAATTATAGCCATATACTGTAATATAAGTTAGGTGAATGGCTTTGGGGCCATTATTAAGTAAAGTCAGGGTTTCTTGAACACCGGCACTGGGATACCATGCCAGACAACCAAGATGGCGGCTCCTGAGTGACGACCAGACCGGGAGCGTCTACAGCGTGGAGATGCTGGTCAAAGAGATGATGCTCGTCTCATGTGGATGGAGCAGGACAGCTCAAGATTACATCATGCTACTCAGAAGTGTGCGATTTAAAACTATGAATTGTTTATTTCTGGAATTTTTCATTTAATATTTTCGGACCACCATTGACATGGGTAACTGAAACTGCAGAAAGTGAAACCGTGCATCAGGAGGACTGCTGGATATAAGTTTACCGTAAAATGCTATATAGACCTCAGTATGCTTACCTCAGAGAGCATTCACTTCTAAACAGGAAATCGGTACTTCCATTCACACTGTGGGCCAGATTCACAGCCCATATCCTTAGGACACATCATCAGCCACAGCTCTGCTCAGCAACGGGGGCTGGCACATTGTAAGCCTGATCACAAAGAGCATTGGTCCACTGATGCCTTCTTGTTCAGATGGTTTATAATAATAGCCCTGGTGTACTTTTAATGGCTGATCTTGAAAATGGTTGTGGAGGCAAGAAGGAGACATGCAAAAAACTGAGACTTCTTTCTCACCCAAACTCAGCAAATCTCTCCTTCTCAAGAGACTTTCCTACAAACTACCACCAGAGGGCCCCCGTGCTTCATTCATGCAAAAGAAACATTTTTCTTGCAGGGTTGGAGGGGCGGGGAAGTGGGGGAGCGGGGGCGGGAGGGAAGTGGATGAAGCCTCTGGAGAAATAGCATGAACCACTTTATGTAATCAGACTCTGGTGTGACTGTAGGAAACGATTGCCTGCTGCCACCGGGGGAAATGGGATTTGCAGCCTCCTCCGCTGGGCTCACCACTTCCAGTGAGCGTGTGTCACGTGAGCCTTGTTGATCTTCTTCCTATTGATTGTGGCCAGGTGGCTGCTGGCTGGTCAGCAGCGGGGGGAGCAGGAGTGTGCCTGCGGCTCCCACTAGGCACCCATCACTGCTGCAAGTTGTTGGGATAAGGGTGGGGGCATGCCCTTAAAATGGTCCCCCACACACACACTTTCTCCTTAATGTGTTATTTTGACCGCCAACAGTGGTTTGATGTTTTGTAATTGAATAGCACAAAAAGCACAGTTTAAGCACAGACAGCTTGCTTTTTTTTTTTTACTTAAAAAAAAAAAAAAGCAGGACAGGGAAAGAATACTACCAGAGTACTTAAACAAACAAACAAACAAACAAACAAACAAACAGTTCCCAGGTTGACTTAGAAAGAGACCAGGATTTACATTCCAGCTCTACCATCAACTAACTGTATAGCCATGTATAAATGAACCCCCCTCCCCAATGTCCCATCTCTCTAGGTTCTATTTCTTCAACTTTAAAAGATGATTTCTCATATCCCTTTCTGCTTAAATCCTGTGGTTCCAAATAACCCCCTGCCCCAGATGAAAGTATACTTTTTGAGCACCTACGACAGCCAATTATTTCACTAAGTGGGGAGGGTACTAGATGAGCAAAATCAGTATGGTTCTGGCTCCCATAGTGCCTGGAGTCTGGCTTGACAAGACAGACATGAACCAAATAACCACCCAAATGAATGTGCAATTCCAAACTGAGATATGCACTGTTAGGCGAAGGCATGCCGTTCCATGAGAGCAAATAACGGAGGAGGTTGACCTGTGCAGAGGAGGCGGGAAGGCTTCTCTGAGGACGTGGGAGCTGAAAGCTGAGGGACAGGTAGGAATGAGGAGAAGACAGGACAGAGCTGCTGCACAGAAGGCAGATGTGCCGAGAGCAGGTGCAGAGGGCAGGCCATGCCGGCGCCTGAGGACTACCAGACAGGTTTTTGTATTTACTCAAGGAGCAGTGGCAAGTGGGGAATAATGAAGGGGTTGAAGGCAAGTTATATGATCAGGCAGAATTCATGGGATTTAGTGTGGAAAATGGATTGAACGAAGCCAGGGAGATCGATAAGAAGGCACTAAGAAGCTTTGCAGTAGTTTAGTCAGGAGATAGTGGAGATTGAATCCTGTTCACACCATGGAGATGGAGAGAAGTGATTTTTAAAGATATTCAGGAAGCAAACTGATGGGAGTAACAGATAGGATAAGGGAGTTTGAGGGAAAGGGAAGTTCTTAGGTTTCTGATTTGTCTAACCAGACGTGAGGTTCGCATAGGTGAGAACATCAGGAAAGAACCAGATTTGGGGGTAAGTTATGAGTTCGAGTTAATAAATGGCTGCCTCTGAGACAGTCAAGTAGAAATGCCTGGTAGGAATTGAATATATGGGCTTAATGCTCAAAGGGGACTTCTGAGATGATGAGTAGTAATTGAAGCCTTAGAAGAAAATATAGAGGGCTGAGGATTACACCCTATTAAGAAAATCCCCATGTATAATGGACAGGAAGAGGCAGACGGATCCCTGATGGAGACCAATAAACAGAATCCAGAGAAGTTGGGAAGAAATAAGGAGAGTGTATTGTCTTGGAAGCCAGTGAAAGAAACTATTTCAAGAACAGGGAATGGCTGAGTGTCACATAATGCTGAAAAAAGATCAAGCAAAATGAAAAATCAGAAAATATCTTTGGATTTGAAGACATGGAGGTCTTCTGGGACCTTAGTAAAAGCTGATGGGTAGAGTGTGGTAACAGACTGGAGTGGGCTGAGGAGTGAATGGAAGGTGAGGAAATGGAGACAAGGAGATTGGCCATTACCCACATGGACAACCCATCAGCCCCTGGGCTCAGATCCTTGACATCTCTGTCTCCATAATAATGGAACCTAAGCATCCTGCTCTCTGCCCACAACCTCTCCTCCAACTCACTATCCCCTCTGCTTTCTCTCAATCCTGCAGCTGATTCCTTTTTTTCTATCCCTTTTCCAGCATGGATTGTATGCTTC